GGCGGCGCGGCTGCTGCATGAAGAGCAGCGTGGGCAGCTTCTCGAGGAAGACGACCTTGACCCACGGCGCCATGGTGTGCGTGGTGGGCGAGCGGTGGTGCACGTTGAGCACGCACACGCTGGTGACGATGGAGAAGGTGACCAGCACCATGGTGAACATGAGGTACTTGCCGATGAGCGGCACGTCGAGGGACGTGGGCGGCACGATCTTGGAGATGAGCAGCAGGAAGACGGTGAGCGCCAGCAGCACGGAGATGCACAGCGTCATCTTCTCGCCGCAGTCGGACGGCAGGTAGAAGACCAGGATGGCCAGCGAGGTGATGAGCACGCAGGGGATGATGAGGTTGATGGTGTAGAACAGCGGCTTGCGGCGGATGACGAAGTCGTAGGTGATGTCCACGTAGGTGGAGTCGTCTGGGTTCTCGTTGCGCCGGCCGGGCAGCGCCACGATGTCCCACTCGCCACTGGGTGTGAAGTCGTCCAGACTGGCCACGTCACTCTTGAGCACCAGGTCGATCTCGGTGCGGTCGTAGGTCCACGAGCGGAACTTCATGGTGCAGTTCTGCTGGTCGAACGGGAAGTGCTTCACCTCGATCTTGCACGCGCTCTTGTAGATGGCCGGGGGCAGCCAGAAGATGCTGCCGTCATAGGAGACCACGGCGTTGGAATAGAACGACACCTCGTACATGCCGTCAGCACTGCCAAGGGGGAGCACGGTCAGCCCTGGCCTGAAGTTCCTGCACCCCACCCAGCTGGTTGCTACCATGGGGGGGGGACAAGTGGGAGGAGCCAGGGAGACCAGAGTGAGGCGCCCCAAGCCATGGAGAGGGCGGGGCAGGTGGGAGCACGAGATGGTCTTACTGGTGGCTTTGGATCTTGAAGGTAAGAAGACTGTTTCAGGAGAGGGGATGGAGCCTGCAGGAGACACCGGGACCTCAGGTTCTCCGACTCGGCCCAAGCCTCCGGGAGAGCTGTTCTTGAATCAGTTTTTTTTTGGGGGGGGGTGCTGTGGATCCCTGTTTGTCTCCCACTGCAGCCTCAAACTGCAGAGACTCCTCACTGGCTGGGAAGGGACTGACCCTGGGCCAAGTCACCTTGGCTGTCTGCATTACTCCGCAGTGGTCTGGGTCTGTCTGTCCATCTGAGTGGTGACTGCATCTATGCCACTGAAAAGTCCCTTCCCTCCCTCCCAGCATGAGCTAATTTACTTTCACCGAGACCCCTTCCCTTCCTAAGTACTCCCGCAGTTTCCCCCCGCTTTGCCACTGCTCCAAGGTCACCTACTTATTGTACAGGACCACATCTGGGAGCCAGATGTGTTTGGAAGGGAGTCGAACTTTCTTCATGTTGTCGAATTCCTCAGGCTTCCAAGTGAGACGGTAATCCTCCCACTCCTGAGAAGAGGGAGAGAGCCAGGCAGCACTGACCTCCGCCCTGGGAGGGCTCAAGGTCAAAGATGGGGACAGGAGGGGCCCATCTGGCGTGGGGGATCAAGGTCAAAGATAGGGATGGGAGGGGGCCCGTCTGGCTGGAGGAAGCTTTGAAAAGCCATCATTTCCCCCCAGTGACTTCTCTGCCCAGCAAATGTGGCTCATAAAATACTTTCTCATTTAATTGGCACAGCTAAGCCAAGATATTTGAATCCACAGTTTACAAATGAGAAAATAAATCTTGTAGAGTTTAATACATTCAAGTCACAGCTGGTGAGTGGAAGAACCAAGATTCAGATCCAGGTTATTTAGGACTCTGAAGTCTATAATTTTCTGCCTTTTTTGAGAAAAAAAAGAAAGAAAAGCGTATATGAAAAAGGAGAAGAAAGAAAGAAAGAAAGAAAGAAAGAAAGAAAAAGAGAAATAAAGAAAAAGAGAAAGTAAAAGAGAAAGAAAGAGAGAAAAGAAAAGAAAAAGGAGGAAAGAGAAGACTGGGGGTGTGGTCGGGGGGGCACCAACCTGGGTTAGCCACACGTTGGTGGTCATGATCTGCTCCCGCTCATGCTGCAGGGGAGAAGAGAAGCTGCTGAGAGGAACCGCACCCCCCCCCGCCCCGTTGCAAACGCGCACGGCCCCTCCCACACCTCCCAAGCCGTGGGGGCTCCAGAGGAGTGAGCTCAGACATGAACACATGCCGGCTGTGCTGACTTCAGCAGCTGAGCAGAGGGATTGGGACCCGCACTCACCACACTGATGAGCTGGGCCAGTGATACCATGAGCTGTACTGTCACCAGCTCAGAGCCATTGGTGGCTGGACGGATGAGCTTGTTATAGCGGGAAGGATCCAGGAGATGCTCCACCAGCCGTTCCTCTGTGTCTGTACCCCAGACTCCTGGGCAGGGGGTGGGGGGCAGGAGGTAAGTAGGCAGGAAGGGCCCACCCAGATCCCACTCTCCCTAGGCAAGTGGGGCAGCCCAGGCCCAAACAAGAGGCTGTAGCTTCCCACAGTTGCATCCCTAAGGATCAGCAAAAGACTTAGGTCGCCCCATGGAGGCCCCTCCCTGAGGTCACTGGCCGAGGAGCCCAGACAGCCCTGCGCAGAGGCCTCCAGGCTAAGAGCCCATTCTGCAAGAGCTAGTGGCGACCCACAGCTCCTGCGAGGTCTCAGAGCAGAGGGTGCTTTCAGGAGACGGGACTTCCGTGTCCGTGGCTTCCCTAGAAGATACTACGATTCGGGGAAGTTTGGGGGGATGGTCAAAGGGCAACAGTTATTCATGTCCCGCCACACACACTTCCCTCAGTCAGTGCCCACCTATCTGTGCAAGTCACAGTATGTATCTCCACATGTGACTGGCCACGACCCCCCCCCCACCCTCAGGCACCGGGCGGCCTAAGCTGTGGGTCGGGGCACATATTTCGTCTCGAATTTCACATGTACAGGAGCCCCTCCTCCCCTCTACGAGACAGCATGCAGCCGCGGAAGGTGCACTGGTTGTACACTACCTCTGCACCCGCCCTTCATTTATTCTGTCTCCTTGACTTTGCAGAAACGCGCCCCATCCCCTCGGAGAGCTCCTCCCTGGCTCTCAGCCCCGCAGAGCTTCTTCCCTCCCAAGTCTCCTGTCCCAGCTGAAAAGCCACCTCTCTCCCCCTTCTGCCTTGACCCTGTGGGTGACCAGAATCAGGAGCCCCATGTGGGCGTCGGGAAGTGATGGAGAGCCATGGGAGGGTGCTGACCAGATAGATTTGTTGAGATAAAATTTCACAGGAAGTCAAATGGCCTCTCAGCTGCAGTCTGCGCTCCTGCCGCCCTAGAAAGCCTGGGGAGACCCCCCTCCCTCCTTCCTTTCTTTGCCCGCACCCTCCACACCACCATTGCCCAGCTTTCTCTCTCTTCCTTGCATCACTTACCCCTTGGGGCACGTCCTCCCATGTTCAGCCTCCCAGGGGCCCCCTGCAGGCCCAAGGATCTCTCCTTACCCCCGAGAGACTCCCCCACCTCTGAGAGTGCCTCCCTTCCACCTGGGCGCCTGCCCCGCGTGAGGCAAAGCCCGGCGACCTGTCATCACCTGCGCACAGTCCGAGGAGGCCGAGGCCGAGGCCGAGGAGCAGCGCCGTGGGGCCGGAGCGCCCGGCCATGCTGCGGGCATCGCTCGCCGCCTGGCCTAGAGTCGCCGGAGCGCGCCGCGGGCGGGAGGGCCGCGGGCCGGCGCTGTCCGTGGTGCTGAAGCCGCGCCCGCGCCGCGCGCGCCGCCCGCGCCGGGCTTGGACCCGGGGCCGGTGGTGGTCGCGGTCTTCGATGTTGCGGAGCCGGAGCCGCGGCGGTTCTGGGGCTCAAGCAGCGCGCTGCGGAAAGGAAGCCGCTTCTCGCTTATGCTGGTCGGAGCGGCGGAGGCTTTTCCGCCTGTCTTCCAGGGAATACGACTGGGGACGGTGAGGGGGAGGAGTCTCCGCCCCGGAGGCGGAAGCGCTGGGTCCCAGAAAAAAGGGGTCTTTGGGGGAGATATTCTTCTGCTGGTCCCGCTTATGCGACGCGAAAGGAGGGTGGTTCACGGGGCGGTGGAGGGGTGCTAAAGCCCCAAAGCTGGGTCAGAACCTAGAGGTTGTCTGAGAAGGGGCGGGCAGAAACAAGGCGACAAGACAAATAGGTCAGGACCCGCTTAGCACAGAAGGACAGAGGGACAGCCAGAATGCAGACGCGGAGGTCGGGAGGAGTTTCTGGGGCCCCACTGTCCTTTTTTTCTCTTAACGAACCTAAACGATCCTGCCTCCTGGAAGGCTGAGGACGCAGCAGAGAAAACGCCCTTGGAGAAGGGGCAAGGGGGCGCCGCGTTTGCTATTTTAAGAAAATAGATTTGGAGCCTAGGAAGAGGATCCCCTCACCTGTCCACTCCATTAACTCCCTCAAAGGCCAAGCTTCCTGTCCTCCCCCAAGGGGCCCAAGGGGACTTCTGGACACAGCCTGAACAGAAGGTAATCTCGAAGGTCTTGAAGAGACGAGCACAAGTGGCTCTTATCCATCAGTGTCCCTCGCCCCCGCGCCCTTCCACTCCAGTCTTTGGCTTCTGTGTGACAAAGGGGATCAGAGGACCATTTCACAGAGGCCAGCCCAAGAATTAAGCTCACACAAAGGACAGCAAAGATGAGAGACACATACATAGAGGTGTCAAAATTCAATGACATCTTTGATCTTGAAAGCCCTGAACTTTTAGCTTCTGAACCAATAAAGGCTTCTTTTTTTCTTAGGTGGATCCTGTCACTTTCAACCAAAAGATTGCTGCCTGCAGCAGCCACATCACACATCAAGGCTCTGTCTTATTCCATCTCCGCCTATTTCTTCAATGTCATCGGGGCCACCACCGCCAGTTCCACGCCAGCTACCGGCAATGTCTTTAAGACCCATGACCGCTCCGTCCCCTCCCGTCCTCCATACTTCGGGGCCTTTTAAACATGTAACCCCATTGGCTCTTTTGTTACTCATTTCCCCTCAACCACCTTCTACTTAACTTTGAACATCTGGCAGCAATATCAGTTCCTCAAGGAAGCTATTCCTGACCAAGGGCCAGGCCAGGTGCCCTGCCATATTCCCAGAGGATGTCCCATGAATCGGCCTAGGGCTACGGCTGCCTCTCCCACTAGATCATGAACCAACACAGCGCCTGGCACATCACGAGAGCTCACAAATAAGGAAAACGGCTAGTACAGGACCAACAGCCTTTAACGTGTAGGCGGAAATTCCTCTCTAAAGGCTCAGCTAAGAGCCGCTGAGGTAGCATTGTCCTCAGTTCCTGGAACTGCGAGGAAGAGCAGGACGAGTGCCAGAAGACGAGGACCAGGGAGGATGTGGGATGACGACAGGCCCCTCCAGCACGTGGGGGGGGGCATGAGTCTGCACCGCAAGCCCCAGGGCGTGTGCACGCGTGAAGATGTGATAATATCGGAAGAATTAAAGAAATCCTGAAACCCAGAAAGGAATGGAGAATAAAAGCCTGCGGAACGGGCAAAGAACGTGTGCGGTCATGCCACCCAGGGAAAGGACCAAGGTAAGAAGAAGACCCACATCTGTCAGTATGTACTGCAAAGGTGCTGAGGGTGCGGTGATCAGAAAGACCTAGTACCAGCTATAAAGGAGATCGCGGTTTGGCGGCCAAGACGTTACGCAGAGCCGTGGCTGCTTAGGAGAGACAGAAATGAGGTGCTGTGAAGCACAGAGGAGGGCGAGGTTAATAGTGCCTGAGCGCCTAGAGGGGATGGAGGTGAAAACTTGAGATTTAAAGATGAGAAAGCCAGCGAGACAAGGGGGGCTTGAAGGCATTCCGGATACCTGAAAGAGAGGGACGGGGAGCCTTACGTGTAGGCAATACTTAGTGCTTTCCTCTTTTGGTGGAGGCTGAGTGATTGAAGGAGTCTTCTTTCCTGAAAACGTCTCCCTGGAGTGTGGCTTGTCTCTAATTTGACAGAGCTGAGCATCGTTTGCTCGCTCGAGGCCCGTGGTTGCTCCCTGGTGCTCCCGTCAGGCCGGTCCAGGCTGCCTGCTCACCTTGGCCTCTACCTTCTCTTTTCAAATTCCCCAGCTTTTACTTCAAGATTAATTCCAGCCTGGCAGGGAGCGAGTCCTCTCAGCACCACCCAGTGGCCAAGGAGAGATGGAACCCCCCCCTCCCCTGTGTCTCCCACACGTGCCCCTTCCACATCCTCCAGGAAGAAGGTCAGCCAGAGGGAGAGGCCAGGTCTAGGACCGCACGGAGTGATGACAGACGCAGAAGTATCAGCCCTGAGGCAAAACAGGGACCAGGCAGTTTAGTGCCACTCTCCTTGCCTCTGGCGGTAAGGAACATTGTCTCTCGAAAGGCGTTACGATCAATTTATCTCCAAATGGCACTTAGATGTACATACAAAAATTATATGAATTATAAGTGTGCAGCTAGATAAAATTCTCACAACATGAACACAGCCATATAATTCCCACCTAGATTTTAAAAAAACAGACTACTACTAATATCCGGGAGTCCTCATTAGGTCCCCCCGACCGCCCCACCCAAGTCATTATTCCCTCCTCTTCAAAAACAACGTGGTGAAGGCCGGGAGGAAAGGGAGTGACTGCTCACTGGGTACTGCTTAAAGTTCTTGAACTAGAGAAAGATCATGGGCGCACAACACTGCGAATATACTGAATTGTTCACTTTAAAATGGTTGAAATGGTACATTTTGTGTTGTTCGTATTTTCTCACGATTAAAAAAAAATGACTAAGAAAAAGGAATCACTATTCTGACTTCCCACAGCACAGAGTAACTTTGCCTGATGAATTCATATCAATGGAATCATGATCTTTTGTGTGCATTTTTTTAAAAACGTTCCGGTAGTAAGAATCACAGACATGGCTGAATGCAGTTGTGGTTTATTCATCTTCACTGCTGGAGGGTATTCCATTCTATGAACATACCATCACTTATTTGCCTTGTTTCCTACTTTGACTATCAAAAATATTTCTATGAACATTCTTATTCATGTTTTGGCATACAAACATATGCATTTCTACTGGGTACGTAACTGAATCGCATAATTTTACTTTTTAAAAAGGAGCGCGCTGTAATATAGCTTTGTAAGCTTCCCTTTTCATTTACATTTTCTCGAACATCTAAATATCAGTAAGCACTCCTTGATGACTATTTTTAACAGTTGCACAGTATTCCGTTGTGGGTACATTTTGTACATACCTTTAATAATTTCCAAGTGAAATTGCTGGGTCGGAGGTTTTAAAGTTTATGATTATTTAATTATGTGTTGCTAAATTGACCTCCAGAAAGAGCCATACTGTCAGGCTCACCCTGGGGCCTCAGGCTAAAGCGGTCGGTATCTCCACAATCTCCTAGGCTGAGTCCATGCTCTCAGCCAGTCCTTCTAAATCATTCCTCCTTTGTCTTAAGGCCTTTTTTCTCAACCTTTCCACTCCAGGGCCGAGATCTTTCAGACTGTCACCCCACTTCCATCTAAGTAACTTCTACTTTCACATTCTTTCTTGGGATTAATCCTAATTTCACCCTTCCAGGCCCTTACCTTTCTCAACCCCTATTGTCCGTAGCACTGTATTACAGTTGATTATATCCGGCTCCGGTTCATCCATTACCGTGTGCTCCTGAGGGCAGGAACAAGCAATACAACAAAAATGATGGAGTAGCAGCTGCCATGTAAGGAGCCCCTCCTTTGTGCCAGGAATGAGGCCAGGTACCCACCACAGGGACCGTATCTTATTTGTCTCTGCAGCCCCAGTGCCCACCTCAGTTCCTGGCAAAGTGCAAGTGCTCGGGATGTATCTGTTGAGCCGACAACAAGAATGCTACGCTTCTGGGAGCGAGTCAAAGGAAAAGGTTGCTCACTCTGCCCCTGACAAACATATCTGCTCACTCCGATAACACATGACCTTTGGAAGGAAAAAAAAAATGCCTACAATCCATTTTGTATACAGCAGCTGGAATGATCTTTTAAAGTTTAAGATCAGATCATGCCACTCGTAGCTTCAAATCTTTCAATGTTTTCCCACTGTACTTTGAATAAAACCCAAACAACTTACTGTGGTCTCCATAATCCAGTCCCTGCTTTCTTCACTGGCCTCACTCCTACCCTTCCTTTCACTAGACTCAAGGTATGCTGACCCCTGTTTTTTAACAGCCAAGTTTACTTACTATGTGCACTTAATCCTCCCAACAGCCTTATGAGGTGGGTACTATTATGATCTCCACGTTACAGATGCAGAAACTGAAGTACACACAGGCTAAGTCACACCATTAACAGCTGGCAGAGCCGGGGTTTAAAGTCCATGCTCTCAGCCAGTCCATCGTTAGTTTCCTTCTTCTAGACGGTGCCACCTTCGGTCTCACTTGGGTTCTCTGAGTTTGCTGCTCTCTGCCGGAATGCTCTCTCCCAGGTCCTGCCAGGCCTGCCTTCTCTTCATCAGAGAGCTCAAACACTGCCTCCCTAAGGAGACCTCCCCTGACTCCTGGACTTAAAAGTAACCCCCACGGGCTGGCCCCCATGTGGCCCTACTTTAATTTCTTGTATCTACTTACCAGTCTGATCTTCTGGCCATTCATTCGTCTAGCATCTGACTCTTTGCACTAGTGGAATGCTCTCTCCCAGGCCCTGCCAGGCCTGCCTTCTCTTCATCAGATAGCTCAAACACTGCCTCCCTAAGGAGACTCCCCTGACTCCTGGACTTAAAAGTAACCCCCACGGGCTGGCCCCCATGTGGCCCTACTTTAATTTCTTGTATCTACTTACCAGTCTGATCTTCTGGCCATTCATTCGTCTAGCATCTGACTCTTTGCACTAGAACGTAAGGACCATGAGAGCGCTGAGTCGGCTCTGCCAAGTTCACCCGGCCCTACTACAGGCTAACGCCTGCCCTTGGCAGAGAAACGCCAGCTCCTGGTCTCTGCAACCAGCTTTGTCCTTTGCGATAGTGCCACCTAGTGAGGACCCGGAGGCACTGCCGCCTTCTCTGGCAACTGTCAAGACCACTGCGACAAGGTGTTGGCCGGTTAGGCTCGATACGGTGAACGTGGTCCGCCCGAGACTGTCCCCTTCCATTCCACTGCCAGGCTAATGATTCAGACCAGCGATGCCCTCCCTCCGTGACCCTGCAGAGGAAGCCCAGGACGCCCCTTCTCCAGCCTCGTCCAGACCTCTGGGGTCTGATAAGCGCAAAAGGTCAGCTACCGACTACCCTCCACGCATAAGAGATCAGCGATCTATTTATCAATCACAGGGCACTGCATGGTGTCCTCGCATCGAATCCTTGAGAGTAGGCAAAGCAGGCATTACCCGCATCAGAGTCATTGGACAGATGAGGAAACTGCGGACAGGTGGTTAACCCAAGGTCATACAACGAACTAGCGGCAGGGCCGGGACGAGAATCCACGCCTCTTGCGGCCGGGGCCTCGGCTCCTTCCCCAACCACACGCCCCTCATTCAGTGCGGCAACAGAGCATGCCCACCCCCACGGAGACACGGGGTCGGAGACCAACGAGGGGACGCGGGGTAAAGACGACGCAGTGGCGACCGCAGCTCTCCCCCTTCCTGCGCTGCCCACCGAGCGCCCGGCACGCTCGCCGCGGCGGGGAGGCGGGGAAGCCGACCCAGCGCACGCAACAGGGTCCCGCGCAGGGAGCCCCTGGGAGCACGCGGCGCCGGGTCACGTGAGAGGGGAGCGCCGGCGCGAGCCGACGCGCGCACGCACGCACGCCGTACGTAAACACGCACGGAGGCGCTGAAAGCGGCGAGCCCGAAGCCCCGGGTCACATGTGGAGGGTGGCAGTCGAGAACAAGGGGGCGGGAAAGAAGGAGCGATCACGTGGAGGAGGCCGGAGTGGGGAGGTCACGTGAGGGGCCGGAGGCGGGGCCGCCGAGGAGGAGGAGGGGCGCGCGGCTTCCGGCGGCTGGGGGGGCCGGCGAGCGGAGGGGGGGGCCCTGTCCCGGAGGTGGCGGCGGCGCCATCT